AATAACAAAAAGACGCTACATTAGATTCACTACACAGATTCCTTTGCTTTGCAAATTTCAATGTTTTCATCACGTGGATGAATCAGCCGTTACACGAGATTTAAAAAAATGCTGGGACACTCTTCAGTCGCCGTCACGAGTGACCGCTAACAAAATCATAGTTGGCTCTATTCTTTTGCCCACAATCATCATGGACTTCCATTTTAATACTAGAATTAATTATATGCAGCGTATCTTAACTATATTTATGAGAAAATCCAACACCATCTTTTAATTTAATTACATTTGAGAGCAATTTATACGTTACTTATTAAGTTACGTACGGATTCGAGGCAGAGGCACGCACGGCTCATCTTGTTGCCTCAACTGTATCTCAGCGTAAGTACCTCGCAAGTGTGAACGTGCTTTGAGCACGATTTTAGCCATTTTGACGTCACGACTTCGAGACACGTTGCGTCATCCTGTTGCCTCGTGTTGTTTTACCGAGGCAGCCCCCACACGAGCCGTGTGTGGTGAGGCTGCTCACCTCGAGGCTGCCTTTAATCCATACGCGCCTTTACGTGTTCTACACTCATATTCATGGCAACGAACTAGTGCAGAACCGCTGCAAACTAAGCTTTTCTGTCATTAGTCTAATTGTATTGATGTCGTTTTGTTACTCCGACAGAAGACGGTCCTCCTTTCTCGCATGACGCAGTCTTCCATCCTTGTTTTTTGTAGGCGATTATGTAATAAACGCAGCGCTTCACAACATTTCCATGAACAGAGTTCAAAACTGACACAGCATAATGAAAACCAAACCCTGATCATATTGGACTATGGGAATGAGTACCTAATGAAACAGACGTGTCAAAGCTATGTTTTATAATTGTCTCTGACAGATTCTACTGAAGAGTGTGTTAAGTTCGATTTTTTATATAGAGGAACATCATAATAATACAATATGACCCTTACATTGTTAATTATTTTAATTTTGAACTCTCGATGACTTCTGTATTATTTAAAACAATCACTATATGCCTTGCCACTGTTGAAATGGAAACTTGACAACATCTCTTCTTCACATGTTAAATGTTTCAGAGTTATATTTCTATGCTTTGTCACTGTCACTCGTATGGGATCTAACAAAGCAAAATGCATAGAAATCCGAGTTTGTTTCACCCTAACATGATTTAAATGCAAGCAAAAAGAAAGCTAATTGCGTTAAGCAAAAGTGATCTCTAAACCAAGTCGCCATAGAGAACTTTTGCGATGTTCCGGGGTCCTACTAAACAACATTGACTAAAAACTATATCTTAAATTAAAGAGCTAGCGTATTAACTCCAACTAACTAAGCAATAAAATAATGTTTGAGACACAACATAAAATAAAATCACAAAAATCATCACCAAACTTAACAAACACTATGTTAAAGGCGAATAATTAATCTATATAATAATATAATATGTAACTCGTGATTTTTGTTGGTATTTGAAAATTAAATCGTATAGATGCGGAGAGGAAAATCCAAAATAATATTCATTTTTTTCCACACTCACACTAATTAGCCTAGCCCCAAAGTAAGCAAGTAAGGCTTGTCTTATGGGATACTCGGGTAATTTAATTTAATTTATTTTATTGTACTGTATTTACATAGAAATAAATATTAAACATCCATGACTGGAGTGCAAATGCTCGTATTCATCACACAAACATCTGTCCCCACCGGGATTCGAAGCCGAGACCTCTCTAGTCGGCGACACCATGAAACCACTCGGCCACGGAGGTCGTCAAGACGAAGAATTTAAAACCTAATAATGATTAGTCAGATCAAATCAAGGCGGCCACAATCCATCGGATGCAATAGTTCTAGGTAGGAAAAATAATAAACTAAAGCCATCACAAAATAATAGGCCCGTTTTGACATTTGTGCGCCCATTAAGTTTCATATTCGAACTTAGTTCTAAACTTGAAAAAAATAATTATTTTTCTTCATTGTCATTAGAGACGTGCAGTTTGAGACAATATTTATCGACTCCGTAATTTGGGGACGTAGAAATAAAATTTTACAATATTATATAATATAATGGTCTCGCTATATATAGAATATAGTTCCGGAAACTTTTTTTTATCATGCTTAAAACCACTAAAAAAATATTTTATCAATAAAAAACCGCCATTCGACAGAATTTTTAAAAGATTTAGTTAAATTAATTGACTTTACAATTATAATTATCATAAAGAACTATATGTCCTTATTCTTCTTGAGTCGTATGGTTACATCACTAGTGACAAATGTCGAAACAGGCCTATTATTTTGTGATGACTGTAGAATAAGTATTTATTTTACATCGACAGCGTTTAGTCTGGCACATTGTTGAGGTTTTAAGAACATTATTCGTTTAGCGTTTTTCATTTTCGGTTCATTATTTTTTATAATTAATTTTACAATAAAATTGAACTATTAGTATTACGCTCTTAGATATACAGAGGTCTATTTCAGCTCCAACACCAACAAAAATCACGGTTTTACGACTATACACTAAAAATTCTTACCGAGCAAATTCGCTTATATTTCACTGACAACACGAATCTATCCATTACATATGAGAAAAAACGTCAGATAGCCACGAGAACTATGAATATGATTTATAATTTACTAACCAAAAGTGTAATTTTCAAAATCAAAAGTAGTTTTTTTGTATATTTAGCACATTACACAGTCCTTTTAATATTCAGTCTAATTCACAAAAATGCATAATGTTAAATCCATTTTCGAGATGTATATAGATACATAAAATAGATGAAATGAAAGTTGTTATGGCCATTCCAATCAAATACTTTCATCTCACTCCTCCAAGCGCTAAACGGTAAAGCGGAAAAGAGACAGACACAATCTACTCTACCGTGCTACCACTCACACCTTACATTAATGGCGCGATTACACTTGGGGTGTATTCCGAAATGTACATTAGTATACTGGCCAGTGGTAATGACGTCATGAATCCGACGCCATATTGTACTGTTATGCTATCATAGTTTTACCGGGAAAACGAATATGACGTATGACCGAGCGTGCGTGAGATGCATTCGAATTTTATTACTTTTTTATTTAAAGAACAATAATAACATCCGAACAAAAAGAATTCCTTTAATTGATGAGGTGATTAAAATATTCTTCTTTATTCGCACCATTTTTAATATTTCGCCGATTTATGACGTCAGTGCACTGGCCAATATATTTCGGAACAATTCACCAGTATAGCGTCGATCCATGACGTCATTAGCACTGGCCAGTATACTGGTATATATTACGGAATACACCTTTGGTCGTTAGCCCTAATACGAGTGCCCATTGAATACGGATAAACGACTAAATGCGAATGAGCGGACTCAAGTACGCCTGTATTCGGGTAGATTTCCTCTTGTTTACCCGACACCGTCTTCCAGTGTAAATATTGCTTCGAGTGCCCGAATACAGGCTAACGACCAAATGTAATTGCAGCATAAGGTACTAAGTTTTCTACTACGTTCAATTTGGCCTCAAGCTGTGTGGTCTTTTATTATTATTATTTATTGAAGAGAACTTATCAAAATACTATATTTATTATGATATAAACGATATCTTAATTTTGTTCGAAAACTAAATAGAATGTAATAATAGGACAATACTGCCGTATTAATTATACGGATAATTTTTATATGACGGTTGTGTCAAAATTAACCTTATGTTCATTATATTACACGTTATTTTCCAAATACATTATAAGAGAAATACGACATGAAGAACATAAATTTTTTCATAGATCTTATTACAAAAAAAAACATAAAGCATTTGAAGTAAGCATAAAGTGCAAGTTATTTTCAAAAGCGCCATATGAATGACTACAGCTCATATATAACGACAATACAATAGTATGCACACTCCCAAAACCTATACATATATATTCCTGTAGTTCACTATATTAATAAAGTCTAGAATTCATTCGAGAAAAAAGTTTAAAGTATCAATAAATTCTTATTAGTCTAAAAGAAGTGACTTCCAAAAACTTCGTATAGCATATTGATCTCTACCTCGATTAAAAAAGATACAAAACTGCATAAAAATGCTGTATTTGTCCATAAAAATTAAGACGCAATGCTATGGAGTTACAAGCTCAATATGCTATGTGAAATTTCAAAGTTTGTTTCCGATTCAGTGATAATGATTCTCATTAAGGTTCAATTTATACTGCAGAGAATTGACTCTAACAAGAAAATCACTCCCCACCACCTCTAAATTCGAGACATTTTGTGGGTAGCTTGAAAACCCATACAAACATTTTTTAAAATCAACCATTTCAGCACTCTTCTTAGTTTTACTTATGGAACAAATTGCATTCGTGTTGAATGGAATATTTCAAACGCGTCGCATACTTTTCCTGCCACCCAAATCGATTAAAAATTAATATTTCCCTAATTATAAATCTAGGTACATTAACAATAAATTTATCGTTATTTTGAAATATTCATTATCCTTAATAGAGTTTTTTTTTCTTTAAGTATATTTATGTATATCTGTGACGAATATATCGTAATTAAATATTTGTTTATAAGATTTGTGTAACAATCATTCATTTTGACGATGTTCTTTGGTTGCATTAATAGAACGGATTTGTTTTTATATATTATTATTATATGTTATTAGGAGAATTTCACTTATGAAATTATGTAAAATATTTAAACATTAACATCCAAATTAATGATTCTACAAGTACGGACTAGATATTTTTATTTTCATTTATGATTCTCAAGGTACACAAGATATGTTAGACCTTATCGTCACAGTTGAACGTCTATTTTACTATAACAATCATGATTGCTTCGAAAAATAGCTTTTTAAATACATATACATAAAAGTATATTTTGTATATAGTTCAATTTTATTTAACCATTAGAGCGTTCAAATGTGACTGGCACTTATCATTGTAAGTAATAAATAATAATAATGTTATCTTTAGTTATTATTATAAATTTATTCTATTCGGTTACCTCGTGGTAGAGTTAAGGTGTTTATGGTACCAAGTTGAGTATATTCCTGTGTTCAAGCGATTCTTTCAATGCGTAGAAAAGTTGTAGCTGTTGTTCCGGTTTCAAGTTGTATACCTTAAACAATTAAATGGAAATTATTTACTGTGAAGTTATATACTAGTATATACAGATAAGTGTAGGGTGCACTAATCATTAAATAAATAATTGCTTTGTGATTGTAGATGTTAAACAACTTTTGCAATGGCCGATCATTGAATGCTTGATCCAAAATTGATTATCTCAAATTCCTTCGTGTTTCTGAAGGCACGTTAATCCGTTGGTCTCAGCTGCATCTGTCCGCACCGACCAATCCGCACTGGGCCTGCATGGTGGGTTACGGCCGAGTCACTATTCCATCCATAGGGAGAGCCTGGGGACATTAATAGGCTGATAATGATGATAAACATAACATACTTGTTGAAGCAGCTTCTGAGGCGTGGCAGTACGTATGAAACTGGTAATGTACACGTTGACGAATGTGGCCATCAGGAACTGGCAGTCGAAGCGGTCCATTATGCCACCGTGCCCGGGAATGACGTCGCCAAAGTCCTATAACAAACGAGTTTTTTTTTATTATATTATTATACTATCATTTCTATATTTATATTATATTTCTTTTTTATTTTTATATTTCATTTAGTATATTATCATTTCTTTGTCGCACTATCCGTAAATGGAATGCTCTGGCTGCTCACGTGTTCCCTCCTTCTTACAACCTGGGATCCTTTAAAAGAGCCGTGAAGAAGCAACATGCAGGCCGGCAAGGTGAGGATGGCTAGTGGGGCAGGTAGAACTGCTTTACCAGCTATCTTCATGTCTGGACTTCACCATCACTTAACATCAGGTGGGGTGGAGACATTTGTCGGGCCTATCTATAAAAAAAAACTTATATTCATAACCTATCGAGGATAGACGCATAGTATTCTTCGGTTATAGAAACGCCTTTATGTTTATAATCGGTCAACAGGATCCCTTCCGAATCCCATGTTGGCATGATTTTCCCAGCCAATTGTGACACTTTAAACTTCTTGGGTGGTACTGTGTTTTTTGTGCCACTGCATTGAGTCCTGTTTTGACTTAGGGTTCATACTCAGGCTCATAATGATGAAAGCTCCATTGAACCTTTCATCTCCAGTAACAATTCGACTCAATAGTCCATCCTTATTTTTGATACAGAGGTCCAAAACGTGCGAGAACACTCCACGCGGCGTTGTTTTTGAGGCGGCGTGAGCATTCTTTGCACACATCTTGCACTGACTTTTGTCATGCTAAGATGATCGTGTAGGATTTTGAAAATTGTCGTATCCGATACTCCAACCACTTCTGCAAGCTGTTTCTTCTTAAGTCTGGCATCTTCCAATATTATTTTTTCGACTTTTTCAATGATTTACGGAGTAGTCACCTCGATTGCCCGTCCGGGCATCTTCGTCGTCTTCAAGCGAGGTCCTGCCTTGTTTAAAATGACTGCGCCACTTGTAAACCATGGTTTTACCCGGCCAAGAGACCCCGTAAACAGATTTCATCTGTTCCAGTATGTTATGAACTGACTTTCCTTGCTTGTTAAGGCACTTTATTACGGCACGGTACTCGATTTTTTTCATAGTGCACACTTTCTTCCCGACTGAATAGGCTAGTTGACTCATGTCGAATTGTATTAAATAAATGTTTATTTCATAAAGTATTTGGTCTAAAGAACCTAAATATATCAATTTCACTTTATAAAAGCAGAAGATTGCTGTAGAAATTTAATTTTAAAAAATATTTTTTAGTCTATATTTTTTAAACACTAAAAACGCTGTTCGCCACATCCGCCATGATTGTGACGTCTCTTATGGTAAACAACTAAATGTCATTCGCGTGTTACTGTGGGTGGATTCTTTCGTCTGACTAAATTTATCTTAAAACACTTTTAACTTTAGAAAAGTTTCCGTTTACTGTTTTTTTTTGAAAAAACTAATTATGGATGCCGGCTTTGTGAAAACAGAAAGCACAAATCTGCCAAGAATTGACGCATTGATGGTTGGTGAATTTACTGCACTAAACCCCGTTTTCTGCTCTGCGGAGCAGAGAAACGACAAGGCGTCTATGTAAGTACAGTGTATTTAGTATTACAATGTAGTAATAAACATAAAATGATACAACATATGAATAAGTGTAATAAAGTTGCGTAGGTTAATTTCTTTCGGCACTTTTAATTCACAACTTTCCTGGAATCTTCAAGGATGTGTTTTTATATTCTCGTACAATACAATAATGATAATTACTTTATTTTTCGGGGTATTTATTAGAAATCATCTTTTGTTTATTATAAAGTCAGTTATTTTCTTACGAGTTTTTGTTTATTTACCTTTGTCTATGTGTTTACTGCAGTTAACGTCATAGCATAGATAATCTATAGACTAAAATGGCCGATAGCGTTTTTGTATGTCCATGAAAAATCTATTTTAAAATTAAAGATTTGTAGCTTTTTAGGTCTCAAAAAAATACAATACATTTTTTTTCGGTCTAATAGAAAATTTATTAACCATTTAAAATCTTTTTCCAATAAGGGTCAACTAGCCTATTGTTTGCTTGACGATAGTTAAAAGACTAACAGCCTTACTTATAAACGTTCACTAAAATTTAAACACTGTTTAACAGTCTATTAAAAAAATATTTTACTTATAAACGGTAATTAGTGTTAATCAACGTCTAAGTAGTCTTTTAAATAACTGTCAAGTTAAACAGCGTCGCATCGTTGTTTAGGCATGGTTTAAAGCTTTAATTACCAAAATGGCGGATCAAATTTAAAAAAGAAACAGCTGATTTCGATTTTGTAATGGCGCATCTTTCCTTTGTGTTTCACTCGTTCAAGGTATTTGCAGCTTGCAGTACAATTTAATATAGTTTAGTGTAGCTATCAATATGGATTTATTTGAAAATGATAATGTGTTGCAAACATTTCGCAATGACATAGACGAAATCCGGAATTTTAGGAATATCGGTATCGGATTAGGTAGACGAACAAAAGTGTACAACTCAAGAGCTAATCCTATGGATGAATTTAGTGAAAAAGACTTCAAAAATCGTTACAGATTTAGCAAAGAAAATATGAAAAAAATCATTAACATTTTAAGAGATGATCTGTCTGTGGATAACCGGGGCGGCAGTATACCCGTGGAGCTGCAAGTTATGGCCGTTATTAGGTACTGGGGTCGACACGAAGTAAGTAAGCACTGTATTTTGTATTATCGTTAGGTATCAAGCTTTATCAAAATAATAACATATTTAAATTTTTAGATTCAAGAAGATTGTGCGGAAATTCATGGTATGAGCCAGCAGACTCTATCAAGGATATGTAAAAGAGTTGCTATTGCATTGGCCTCTAAAAGTTCATTATATATTAAAATGCCTTCAAGTATAATAGAAGAGACTGAAACAATAAGAAAATTTCAGTCTATTTGTGGGTTTCCACATGTTATTGGAGCAATTGATTGCACGCACATTAAAATTAGAAAAGTTGGAGGAGATGCTGGTCAGTACTATGTAAACCGCAAAGGACAATACTCAATAAACGTTCAAGTAAGTTGATGATAATGAACACCATATCAGTAGAGGTCAATATAATTTGGTAATAGAAATGTAGTAGTGTGAAGAAACCTACTTGTTGTGTCCATTACATGCCTATCAATTTTAATTATGAATGTAATATTTAATTCACAGATTGTGTGTAATGCAGATTTGAAGATTTGTGATATTGTTTCCCACTGGAGAGGCAGCACTCATGATGCAAGAATATGGCGTGAAAGCTCTTTAAAAATTAGATTTGAAGAAAATGAATTTAAGGGGAAACTCATCGGTGACAGTGGTTACCCTTGTACACCATATTTATTTACCCCAGTTCTGAGACCTCGAACTGAATCAGAACAGAATTATAATAATAGCCACATTCGCACAAGAAATGTGATAGAAAGATGCTTTGGTGTATTAAAGCAACGATTTAGGATACTGCTCGAAGTAATGAGGGGATCTTACACAACTATCAAAACTACTATTGTAGCATGTGCAGTGTTGCACAATTTGGCAATAGAATTTAAAGATTCTATAGATTATGGTGGGTAATAATAAAATATTATTCAGCTTTACTTGGCACATTAAGCAACTACTGTAATTGAGACCTTTGGATTTTTTCAGATTTGACTTGCAGAGACGCTGATGATGACACTGAAAATGTTGAACAGAGCTCCAATAATGCAACACATATAACCCGAAATCTATTTATTGAAAATTACTTTTAATAATAAATATTTAAAAAAATTATTCCATCTTCATTATTTTCTTTTCCCAATACTTCTGTTCTAAATCTAAAATAATCATTTTTTTTTTATGTATTTCATCCTCTCGCCGTTCTTGATTTTCTTTGATTTTTTTGCAAGTAAGAACAATTGCTGTTCATAATCATTATCCATCTGTAACAATAACATAAAATAAATAACATATACAAACACCAGAAAAAATCTGTTTATTGAATAACTTCAACTTACTGACCATTTGATTTTGTTTGTTCTTGGGCTTATATAGTTTTCTTTTAATGTTTTTACTCCTCAACACAGTGTCGTATGTTGATGCTAGTGGTGTTGATTGCAATGACGGAGAAGCCACCACTGTTTCTTCAACATCTGCTTGAGGATTTGATGACTGTAAAATCAACAAGTGCATAAATATTTCACTCAACTAAATTTAATAATATTACACAGTAAATAATAAGATACAATACCTCAACTGATTTCTCAATGTCTATTCTTTCATTAGACACGGTTGGTATTAGTGTGACTTCAGATTCTGTTTCAGCTATCTGTGACTGCAATAGAAATATATATTATATACTAGACTAATTATCAATCTTACTGAGAGACCACTCCACTAAGATGTCCTTGTGTTGAAGTGTAATTTTATTCTAAATAGCAAGATTTAATAACAAATAATTACCATAGAGCAGTTTTACTAGGCTAAATGTTGGCAGGAAGTTTACCGGGATTGTAATTTATCTATTTGGCTCAATGGAATACATAATACAAAACCCACCTGTGTAATAGTCTTCATAAACAAACTATCACTATCAAAGCAATTGCTATCCACTACAAACTCATTGGGTATAATTTGTAGGATTTCACGATCTTCTGGTGGAGGGCTTGGTGGTGGAGGTCCTCCACCTGTCATTAGCCGAGCGCGTCTATACTCAGACTCCCTACTTTTAACTTGGCCTTTCATATTTCGCCATTGGGTTATCAATTGAGTCATATCTCTTTGTTTTTTATTAATGGTGTTAAAACTGTAGACAGAAAAGGTTAATTATAGTTTCATGTCATAAGTCATATAATTATCAAATACGAGTTGAACAAAACCTAGTTTACCTGCATAATATTTCTTGCCAAGCAGCTTTTTTCAATGCATTGGTGTTTGTAGAGCATTCTTTTTTCTCTACAATATCTATTTTGTCCATTATAAGATGCCGCAATAGTCTCTGCAAAAAGTACTATAATAAAATAACTATTTTAAAGGCTTGACTAGATATTTCGAAACATTTTTATCACATCAAGACAAAATAACACGTGCAAACTAAGATTAAAACAAAAAAGGTGCAAATAAAAGATAAGTTAAATAAATACGAAAATACCTTTTCTTCTTCATCTCAGTTTGAAGATCGAACTCGTTTTTTAATGGTTTTCAATACCAATTGATGTTCCATGGTTATTTTGTTCTAGAAATCTTCTCAAGGAATTATCACCACAACAAAACAATACAATTCACAAATGATTATGATAGTTTGACAGTAATTTGTCGTTTTTTTTTGCATTTGTTGCATAGGGTTGACGGCATTTTGCCTTTTCAGCTTGGTGTTGGTAGAGTAAAATATAAATTATGCTAATTAACTGTTGATTAACTAAGTGACTCCTAATTAACGTTTATAAGTAAAACATTGTTAAGCACTGATTAACTCGTTAATGAGTGATTAGTTAAGTGTCGTTTAAGATGTTGATTAGCAGATTTTTATAAGTAAGACTGTAAAGACCCAATTAAGACAAAACCTGGTATTTATACTAATATTGAGTGACGGAAGTCGTGGCCACCCCGATTATGAACTATTTTTAGGTGATAAATATAGTTCATAATCGGGGTGGCCTCGACTTCCCTCCCATTCCGCGAACTTAAAAACGCATCCACGTACCAGAGGCTTAAGCACGAATTTTGACAGCTGCGCAATAGTATCGTCATAGTCAATATTTTGTATGGAAAAAGTTAGTTTGTGCTTACGTTCGATAGCGTTGCTTAGTTTTCATAGAAACACTGATGATGCGATATCGGGCTTTGGTTGGTGGCGCTCAGCATATGCTGACGGACGGAGCCGAATATGCTGAGCGCCATTATTTATTTACACATACAATGGTCATGTTTATTTTCACAAATATAGAGTCATGAAAAGCAAAAGCAGAAAAATAGTTAATGTTAAGAAAATCAAACCTTGATCTTGAAAGCCCTCTTGAAGCCCGACGCGAAGAATCCACCGAAAGGCCCGATGACGGAGCTGAATATGCTGAGCGCCAGTGAGTGGATCATGAACGGGTACATGTTGAATTTCTCCATGCCGAACTGAAAATTTATTACCAGTTGTACTAAAATTGTTACAAAAAATATTGGTTGTCGGTTAACGTAATAACGTAATAAAGAAACACTGATGAAAAATTGCAAAATTGCTAGCTATGACGTCATGCGAGAAGACAGATAAAGTCGACGCTTAGACCGATCGTCCCTGTCTATCGCTTGTTCCGCGCTCAAGCTTGCACGCTCAGGCCCTGGTGTTCATCAACTTAAAAGATGTTTACAGGTCAAAAACATAATTTGAAGCCTGTTTAAAACATCACTTTATCGTTGTTAAAGTGTTTGAAGAAGAGTTAAAATGTAGTATTTGAGAGCTTTGACACAAGAGACCAGTTAAGTCTATTTAATAGTTTTCTTAACTTTTTATCAAAATCTATGATAAAATATCGTTTATCTTCATGGGTCATTTGAATCATTATGTTGCAACATCAAAATAACTTCCACTAAGATAAACTAACTAATAAATCTTAGATACAGCTTCTTGCTACATGCATGTAAAATGTGAGGCAAGTCGACATACACAGACAAATACACACACACGTAATTATTTGCATTCTTCTCATAAATATATAGGAGTGCGCATTCTCTAACCAACAAGTCAAGTAAACCTAGGCCGATAAGTGTCAAAGAGAATAAGCGATAAGGCTTACGAACGAACTATGGTTCGTGTAGTTATTGACTTTTTTTTATCTCTTTCTAGACAGTTGTTAATTTATGTTGCTCAGTCTTAATCTATGATTCTTCTTAACAAAAGTTTACTAGTTCACTTACAATCTTCATGAGTGGTTGCAGGAATTGGGGCGGCGTGTATTCTTGCAAGCGGAACAGCAGTGACGGCTCGCAGTCCATCGTCATTTTACCCAGAGACTCGGAGTACTCAATAGGGCACACCAGGTAAGGATATTGTGACATCATGTAGGAGAGCTGAAACAATAAATTAATAATTCCAACACACACACCAATGAGGGTTTTCTGGAATGACGGGCGCCAGGGGGCAGCACTGAGTCGAAAGGTCTACTCATCCGTCAAATCACGTATTTCTTCATGGTCTATGGATCAATTTAAATGCTCGTTCGATTGATTCGTTTTATATATATTGATTTGTATAGTTTTGCCCCAAAATAAGCACTCTCAGGTAATACTAAAGTAACGGATAGAAATACATATAATGAGACATATCTTTATATATATAATTCTTCTGTGAGTGTGTATGTCACTGAACTTCTCTTAAACGACTGGACCGATTTTGATGAAATTTTTTGTGTGTGTTCAAGGGGATCTGAGAATGGTTTAGATTCACAATTTTGTCCGCTGGACAACCCCTATTTTTTAGGGCGGTACGAAGTTCGCTGGGTCAGCTAGTATAAGTATATTTTTCGAGAAATGTCATGTCATAAAAGAAACATTAGCTCCACCGGTGTTGAAACCCAGACACTCTCGAGTGACACCTTGGAAATCGGTGCGCATACCACTCATATCACGGTTATTGTCAATGTCGTCAAGTCTAAATGATGTCAGTGCCTAGACAGATATTGTGTTACGAAAATCCCAAGACTCGAAGGACCAAAAACATTTGTATGGTTTGCTGACGTCTAATTGGTATTTAGTAGTGTGATTTGTCATCAATACCTGATTCAAATGGAAGCTTGTACAGTTTATAAGTTATTTAGATCCTTTGCTATCTACACGGTTGAGCTTGTATTAAATTTTAACAAATAAGCGCCCTCATTAATTACTTTTTAGTAATGAATATAACGACCATAAGGTGTAATTGAATAAGGAACATCTTTTTTTATTGCCTTTGAAAGCATACGAGCGGATGGTCCATCTATTTTTTTTTTATTTATACTTTATTGCACAAATGAGTGTACAAGTGGTGGAATTAATGCCATTAGGCATTCTCTACTAGTCAACCGGAGAATTATAGCAAAAATCTTAAGAAGGTAGTGCAAAAGAATTCATGGAATTACTTATTATAATTAAAGTATATCTATGGAAACAAGATCAATCTGATGTTAAGTGGTCAAATGCCAGAGACACAGCCATGCCGCTTCTTTTCGTGGAACACTCTATTTAAATCTCCCTTGAAAAGGACCATGTTATAGTACTGGAGGAACACCGTGGAGGGGAGCTCAATCCATAATTTTGGAAACGAACAGTTGTGGAGTTCAGTGCTTACATTTTCCATTTCTCTCTTTTGTTTAAGTATTTTGATTGATGTTCATGAATCAGGAATGTAAAAGCTTACATTAACCGATAACGATAATTAATCTACCTACACTGACATGTCAAGGTAGAGGTTAACGACGCTTTGTTCACACACATAAATACACCCTTCACCTAAGTGTCAGCGCTGTCACGCTAAAGTACTAACTAGTGTTTAAGTGATTTTAAATGAACTAGCGACCCTCCGCCCTGGCAACTTGCGGATGCAATTTTAATTAAGAAAATGATTTGATTTCAGTAATTTTGTTCGCAACTTTTTATAAAATTTCCGATATACGGTAGATTTCCCAAAAATGTTCTTCTTTACAAATCAACTTTATCGATAATGCATTCATAATAACTCATATCGGATAAGAGCGGACAAAAAAAATAACATTTCTCTGTTTCAACTCCGCTGGGTTACGGTGCCATACGTTATGAAATGATTGACACACTTCAAACACTTCAGCATCTTCTCAATTCTAGCTAAAAGAAAAGTCATATACTTAATTATAAAAATATTTGATAAAAAGCAATTCATTCTTACTAAGTTACAGAACCGATAATTTATCGAAAGACAACAATCAATTCAAAACAAGTGCTATGGCCCTTCGAGCATCTTAAGACTGAGTGTACTTTTAATGTTATTTCTGTACTTACCACTAAGCCGAAGACGACAGTCGAGAAACCCCCTCCAATGAAACCTTCCCAAGTCTTCTTGGGACTGAGCTTGATGAGAGGAGTCTTGCCGAAGAAGAAGCCGAACACATACGCCATCACATCGTTGCAAATTATCATAGACACCGGTACTATGAACCAGATCAATCCTGCAAAAAGAACATAGGTATATTCAGTATTTTATATTTACAAAAAACAAGAGGCTTCCCACAAGGTACACCAAAGATCTGGGTGTTGATTCTGCTACGTTTTCGACACAGTAATTCTACTAATATTATAAATGTAAAAGTTAGTATGTGTGTCTATTTGTATGTTTTTTACTCAATAACGCAAAAACTACTGAACGGATTTAGATGAAATTTGGTGTTGATATAGTTTATGATCTGGTTTGGGACATATGATACTTTTTGTCCCGGAAATGTTTCAGTTTACTGGGGGAGTTATAAAAAAACTAAAGCTAACGCAGACGAAGCCCCGGCCGCTAGTTGTAACTAAAACACAAAATTACAAATACATCTGTTAACTCATTTGTTATTGTTATCTGTATGCATTTTTTTTATTATATGCTTTCTTCAAAAATCGCTACCACTGAACCACTACGAAGTTAATATATAATTTTATTCATTGGCAGAAATCAAAGGAGTAATTCTTTTACAGCCTTGTCATAAGTCTTATCAGGAAACTACAATGTATTACAATAAGCTTTCAGTGATTTGTTATAAAAAAAAATGAGCTACTTATTCCGTACTTTTTAAGAATTTTTATTTCGATATACTTACACAAAATATTTTTGTGTAGATTTTTTGTTCATTTGTTTATGTAAAAAGGAACATTTTCCTATTGCAATAGCCGTGAAGTAAATTTGTATACTTTTAATTATTTCAGGAAAGTTGTATGTGAATAATAAAAACGTAATAATTAATATATATCTTAATATATATAAATGTCGTGTCACAATGTTTGTCCTCAATGGACTCCTACACCACTGAACCGATTATAATAAAATTCGCACACCATGTGCAGTTCGATCCAACTTGAGAGATAGGATAGTTTAAATCTCAAATTATAGTCGCAATTTTAATTTATTGCAAATTCTTACTTTTGGGCGGTACGAAGTTCGCTGAGTCAGCTAGTATATATATATATATTAATATTGCGGACTAGTACGCAGTAATTATACAAGCTAAGGGCAGTTTCTTAGCCATGGCCTTTAACCGTAGATTGTAACGAATTTTGGGATATAAAGGGAATTTTGGGAAATGAAATTTTTACCATGTATAAGGGTTAACTTTAAATGTTGGTGCAGAGTTAACTGTACAGCACTCTATGTCTCAACTGAGTCTGTGGAGCGGAATCGCGAACAATCAATTCATATTGTTATAAACAGTCGGCCCCATTTCATTATGTGATGTGTTGACTTTTATATTTAGATGCTAGTAGGTATATTTGAGGCCCAATCAATGAAACAACACCTAGAATAAACCACCAACAAAATTACTATCGAATCAACAAGAGATTCATCACATTCCATCTACAATTCTACATATCTCCGAGTCGACAGTAAAAACATTAAAGAACCACCTCCTTTCTGAAATCAGTTAGCTTAATATAAACAGAACCATGCAAAAAAACATCAAAGACTATAAAAAAGTAACAAACCTGAAAGAGAAAGGACAAAAATCTCAATTGTGAATTGGAATAACTTCTAATTATTAAAAAAAAGAAACGTGTATATCCGTGTTGATTCTGGCATGACTCTCTTACTCTAAACTTAAATTTGACAACAGTATATCCCTGTCATTCACTATACAGAATGAAAAGGAGAGACTGATCCTAAATTTAGTTTTAAGTTTAGAGAAACATGCCAGAATCGACGCCAGTGTATACCTGTACCATTTATATATTTTGCATACAATAGAACGTCGATAACGGACGCACGACAGGCAAACAACGTTTGATTTGAATATCGGTATAGTTCCTTTATTAAACTCTGAAACGGCTATTGTTATGATAACGTTGCACTAAATCTAATAATATTTTTACGTCGGTATACACAGAAGCAGTTAGAAGCATTAAAGAGGCCTTTGTGAAATAGTTTCAACGGCGCAAACAATACCAAATGGACGAGCGAAAGGAGAGAACAAAGTTTAAATCTATGCATATTTAGTTAAACGTATTAAAAAAACTATTTTACTGACATACAGAAAAAATAGTATTACCGGCAAAGAACAATGCCCAAATAAATATAAAGTATAGCTGAAAGATTACGTATAAATTAAGAAAATAATAGCCTATAGTCATTTTTACGATTTAAACACAGGAAAATTAAAAAATATGAATTATTTTTTAGATTATATTTATTTTTTTGCTCTGGCAACACTAAAGGTTCAGATGTTCTTTTGCATTATCTAATTTTGTTAATTTATTCACGACAAATTACATAAAAAGATAGAAAAGATATTTCGATCAAGATAAATGATAAAATGCAGTTCATTATTCGTGAATTGATTACTTTATAGTAAATTGGACACAGCGTTCTTACCTGCCAAACGGATATGAATAACCAAACAACAATTGTAAAGAATAATTTGTCCCAATAGAGCAATATCAAGTGGATTGTATGAAAACCACGGGCTATTAGATGCTTACTCATCTAACATCAATCCTACATTATTTTATTGAATATTTAACAAAATACCAAAGCATTCTAATTAACAAAGTCTGTGCAGGGCGGGTTGTCAAACACCTGTCATATGTCAAAGAAAACCGTTTTACAAATCGTTCAATTGTACTGCACGAATTTGTGAAATGATAATAATATTAATTTAAATTATTCTGTAGTAAGAGTTTAATACAGAAAAACATACACATAAAATACAGTGTAAAAGTATATGAAACGCATAAAAAACGGGGTTGAATAAATCTTCTTGACAAGTGACAGTCCAGTGTTTGCTACGTTCCATTTTACACAAATGGAACGTAGCAAACACTGGATAGTTGAAGTGCGTTCGGAAACTGTAACTTACACATACAGTAAACATATTCAAATAATAAAGAATCTTTTTTTCCTGCGTTTCTTTTACCACGTTAATTATTGTAATAATCTTATAATTAAATTAGCTTTATTTTGACGTATATGTCATCTCTATACATGATCAGGTCAAAAATGGGCATTATTCTTTGCTGTCAAAGTTGGAGAAACCTAAAAAACAGTGTAGAAATTCACTGAAATTATTTTTAGTAAGTTTCGTTAGTTTTCGTTAGTTTGTAACCTTTATACGATATCATATATTAATTAGTTAAGATAACGAGTTTTGCACAGTTAAGTTCCGTATCATAAAGGGCATTTGAAGTTAATATGAATAAACTAGGTTAGTAAATGCTTAGAGCTGTCAAAAAACGCTAACACATAGGTACCAAAGATTCAAATGATGTTTCGGGTCAGCTAGTAAAATATAAATTGTAAAAATATAATCATTTTTAACAGCCGTACTAATGTTACATGCACAGTTGATTTTCAAAGAATCCCTTCAGGGTTGACCCGAATGTTCGGCGGGGCGTTCAGATTTCCTTTCACCCGAGCATCGAATCGATTGCCAAACACCGGCATCATCATCCGATCTACACCGCGCGCATTCGTATTGTAGAACAAAACTCATTTTGGTACCTTTGATTTATACACCATTACTCGAGAAACTTTAAAATCGTGTAAATAAACATACTGTGAACAGTTATAAACAGTAAACATACCTCTTCTATCTTCGTAATAGGTACTCGTAAGGTAATTTGAATAATTTTTATTTCATTTTATTATATTCCGTAGGTACTCGTAAGGCAATTTGTTTTTTTTTCATTTTTTTATTCAGTCTATAGCTGTCACAAGATCTAATGGACGTCAAATGCTACACCATCGGTTCGTGCGGGAAATCTGTTATGGTACTAAGAAGAACGCGCAAGACCGTAGTTTGGTCTCTGGGAGGAATTTCCTTTACTAAATTATGTCTCCTCTACGACGATCTACCTCCATCACATCCTGGTTCATTCTACATAGTTCTTCTTGTCTCTCGGGGGCAGATGTAGCTTGTCTTACGATGTCTACATAGTTTAACATATAAATCTGTGAAAAACTTGAATCATCATCATTTTCACCAGCCTATTATCATCCCCACTGCTGAGGCACAACCCTTCTCTATGAATGGAACAGGGAGACTGGGCCATGACGCACCACGCGAGCCTAGTGCGGATTGGTGGGTGCTTAACGTGCCCTCCGAAGCACGGAGGAGCTCGAGATATTAAGTTTTTGGTCACCCATCTAATGACCGACCATTGCGAAATTTATTTAACTTCTACGATCACAGACCGAACGCGCTATCAACTACAACAACTTGAAAACAAAAGTTTAATTGAAAATGGGAAACTAACAATAACGACGAAATTGATTTATCATAGCCGGGGTTAGCTTGATTTCGCCTTCATTTATTAGGGTCATAATGTACGCACGTCGTAATTTTACAATATGTAAGTATGTTTATGTATCTAGTATTACGTGAGCCGGCTATTTGTTGAGGCATGTCCTCCAGCTGATTCACGTGCACGGGAGTTATTTTGGTCGGCTTCCCTACGTAAGTAATGTGTAACGAGCAGCGAGCGGTCACGGTGTACAGGGCTGCCAGACGTATTGTTAAAACATACGTATTAAATTGCATACTTTAATTTTGTCAATAATATTGAAAAACTCGCATGAAAATAATGAAAAACACCAAGAGAAAATTATGACTGTAAATATACGCAAAAAGGCTCTTATACCAATAGTATCCAAAGCCAAATATTAAACGTCTTTTTTACCGAATTTCAAAAAGGGGGTGGTTTTTAATGCTATACTTTCTTTTATGTAATGTACACCGATTTCGGAGAGAAATCTGATTAGATTTACGTATTTCTTTTTTGTTCGATGCGGAATACTTTAACTTACTTTTACTAAAAATATATATTTCTATCGATAGGTATTCATGCCACTGAGTAGTCGAAAAATGTTTTCTGTAGAAACCGAAGATTGACAAGGATTTCTCGTGTGTGTTTACTGAATAATTTTATAATATTTTAAATGGCGGGAACCCTAGCGGTGTACTGTATGAGCAATTTACAAGTT